ACTTTCTATCTACTTTATTGAGACTGGACTTAGTTTTGTATGCTACCACTTTTTGTGTTCTCTTTTGTTAGAAATTCGAAAATCTGTTTCCTTACTTTCCGGTTATATTCACTGATCTCATTTTATGGGCAGTCACTCTGTGGTTCGTCAAATACCTGTGCCAAATCCGTGTAGACCCTTTCTGAATTTTGTTTTTCTTTCAAGGCGTCAGTGTTGTTATAATGGAGATTTAGCTGTGACAGGCATGATCATCCTTCTCTAAATCCATGTTGTCCTGTGGTGTGTAGGTCATGCTTTTCCGAGAATATCGTAAAAGACAGTAAGAGATTGTCGCATCAGTACCCTTTCAAAGGCACCATACCCCCAGCATCATAGGGAATGGTTAACTATGTAATAAAATTATGCCAGAGCCAAGTAAATATAAAAACGTGAATGGAAAAGCCTCGTCTAGACGTCATATTGCACCCTGTAAAGGGGTTTTGACTGAGTAATGTTGAACCACTTGACGTCTCTTCACGCTATGCCAAAGTGTAAGCCACAAATAAACGAACGATGAGCTAGGATCGACGATTCTACGCTTACTTATGATGCTACGGTTTCTGGACCTTAGTCAACATCTTCGTCATGACTCGTGATGTGTCGAATGATTCCCAGCGGCTGAAGAGTTGAAAAGACAGTTTGTAGTTCAGTAATGGAGCATTAACGAACTCTCAGAATATTTACAGTTCTCCTGCTAAGACTGCACTTTATCTTAGATGCTCTGAATGATGTGCACGTCGGTCAGTCAGTCAGGTTAAGCATCTGACCAAACATACTCGAGCAGACTAAACTATCGCAGTGACTAGTACCTTCCCTCTGGTGGATGCTAAAGTCTACCCTCGGATCATCTCGCACGAGCATCAACACTGAAATAGCCTCCAGCCATAGCACCAACACGCTAGGCAGCAAAATCTTGGCTACAGGAACATTCCCCACAGCATGGTTTCCGTTTTTTGTTAATCTCTTTGGTAAGAGTGAAAGCTATAATTATGGTAGCGTTTCAAACTTAGCGGGTTGTGATGCCTGAGGCTCTGGCGTCTGTCTGCTCGTTGCCTTAAATATCATGACGTGATGCCACGAATTTACCTCACACCCTCTCTTTTATTGAAGATTTTTTTTTTCAAAATTATTTTCTATTTATATTTAAGGATACTACAGCTAGATCCGAATGGCTTATTGCCGACAATATTGATGGAAAAAAAGTTGCGAAACCAGCTTTTATTGAGACAACGTTTGGCTCTGTCAGAGTTTTTTCAAGACATAAAGCTCTAACTTAGTGAAACTTTGTCCAGATTAAAGCCGTTAATATATTTCTTCAAGGTAAACACCTAGTAATGCAAATATTATGTAGATGAGGCAGCCGAATATCTTACCTTTGATATACCTTTGATGAGTTTCCAGAGTCTTACAGTTCTCGGAGCCCGGCTCGTCTGGTGCTTGCCTGGTCAACCAGGCTGTTGCTGCTGGAGGCCCGCTGCCCCACATATCCATCACAACTTCAGTTGATAATAATCAACTGAAACACAATGATAAAAAGTAACTGCTCTTATTTTTTCTGTGAAGAGATATTCTGGTATTCTTTCAAGATCGCTTTTGTATTAGATTGCAGTTCTGGCCTCTTATTTTCCCCAATAAAGGCACTAAGATGCCTTATTTATCTGTTTGCTACTATATTTTTACGTGGGTACTTTACTACCTGTGACAGCTGTGTGTGTGTCCAAATGTGGGTGTGTTTGTGTATGTGGACGTACTCACCTAAATGTGCTTGCAGGGGTCGATCTCAACTCCTGGCCCCGCCTCTCTGCTGGCCGGTACTGGTTTCGCTCCTGGCTGCGTGAGCCCTCTCATACCTATTCTTAAAGCTATGTATAGATTTCTCCTATACCACTTCGTTGTTTAGGTGTGTGTATGTGTGTGTGTGTGTGTGGTGTGTGTGTGTGTGTGTGTGTGTGTGTGTGTGTGTGTGTAATAAAGGGGAATTGAATGGTTTTCGTACATTTCTGTGTATTATCAAATAAATATTTACGAGTAAAAGGGGAATAGTGAGACAGATACAGTAACACTTCTACACAGCTTAGCAAACCGTTATCATGTTATCAACACACTATGTTATCGACACACTAACATGTTATCAACACACTAACTGGATCGCTGGACAACTCGCAGCTGATGTGAGCAAAATGTAATTTTAAGAACTGCATATTAAAAAAAAAATAACCCTAGAATTATTCTCATTTCTAACAATGAATCACTTCTAACTATTCGCAGTATCCTTGATAACAAACTAATCATTAACCGAGACAGTTATATTAATGTAACGTAATTTCTCGCCGTGCTAACTTCCACAGGATTCTTATGAACTAGCCGAGTGTTAGTTGAAGGATTTAGTGACCACAGGAATGACGACAGAGCACATGTCTTTACCGGAACAACGTTTCGCTCTACACAGACTTGTACAATGTTTCGCTCTAAATAGACTTGTACAACGTTTCGCTCTAAATAGGCTTGTAAAACGTTTCGCTCTAAATAGACTTGTACAACGTTTCGCTCTAAATAGACTTGTACAACGTTTCGCTCTAAAGAGACTTGAAAACGTTCGCTCTAAATGACTGAAACGTTCGCTTAATGACTTTACAAGTTCGCTTTAAAGAGACATTATCGGGACTACCCAAGTCTAAACTCTTAAAAGAGATTTTTTCTAAGACAGTGCTTAGCTCTAAAATAACTTTATTGGAACGTTTCGCTCTAAGGAGACTTTCCCATTACAGTGTTTCGCTCTAAGAAGACCTTACTGAGACAACGTTCAAAGTCAAGCCTTGGAAGGAAAGTTCTTTCTAGAGCGAGAACATCGCTCTGTTACGACTGCATGTGTTGATCTTCATAACCTAGTGTTGCTAGGTTAGGGAATTATTTCTCCATAGTAATTATTTCTTTATAGAAATTACTACTTGCTCAGCCGCTGAGGTTCAACACCTCGCTACTTATGTTATATTTAAATTCAGTAATTAATTAGTAACTAGCACTGCAAAGTTTAAAATCCTTGAAATTTTAATATATAAATATATAGAATAGTTAATAATAATGTTATTTTCTTATTTGCTTTCCCTGACCATTGGGAAAATCCGAATAATAAATAATTGGTACAGTAATAAATAATTGGTACAATACGTGAATGGTATAGATACTGATAAATGATGTGGAAAAAGAGTTTATTTATAGTGAAATATATCGATTAAAAAATGTCCTGAACTTTTTCTCCCACTTTCTTCGGTATAACGTGGGACTAAATTACTTAACATTGTTAGCGTACTTTGCGTAATAAATGATAGATCACTGTACTCAAAATTGTTAGGTCAGCAGAAATTATAGAGGTGTACTAAGAAGGCTGTTATCACTATTATTAGTACTCTTGTTATTTTTTTTTTCAATAAACCGGCCATATCCCACCAAGGCAGGGTGACCTAAAAAGAAAAACGAAAGTTTCTCTTTTTAAATTTAGTAATGTATACAGGAGAAGGGGTCACTAGCCCCTTGCTTCCGGCATTTTAGTCACCTCTTACGGCACGCATGGCTTACGGAGGAACAATTCTGTTCCACTTCCCCATGGAGATAAGAGGAAATAGACAAGAAGAACAGTAAGAAAATTAAAGAAAACCCGGAGGGGTATATATATATATATATATATATATATATATATATATAAAATATATATATAATATATATATATATATATATATACATGCGTGTGTGGTTTGACTTATATGTAAGTAGAAGTAGCAAGACGTACCTGAAATCTTGCATGTTTATGAGACAGAAAAAAAAACCAACAATCCTACCATCATGTAAAACAATTTCAGGTTTCTGTTTTACACTCCCTTGGCAGGAGGGTAGTACCTCCCTGGGTGGCTGCTGTCTACCAACCTACTGCCTAGGACTCTTATTATAGTAAAATAATCAAATGGTAAACACGTATGGGTCATACGAAGGCTGCTGTAACTAGCCAAGACTCAGCCTCAAAGTACCTAGTTTATAATTTTTCTAGTCTGGATGAGCAGGCTTTATCTCCCGATTTATCTGTACGAGGCAAGGTAACACAAATCTTGTCTCTTCCTTATATCCCGCATATTTGATAAAGGAGGTGTTTGGCCCTCATGTCGCCTCACCAATGCTATTAGAAACTATTGTACTCGTTCCGAGCAAGACACTTCCCACAAAAAACCATTGTTAACCTCGCTGTCCTTTCAGTGGTGTGGCGACCATCGAACAGAGCTCTTAATTAAATTTTATTGGTCAACGGTAATTGCACCTCGGGTAACGAAGCCTCTGGATATGAACTATAAAATACAAGTACGGATAAATACTTTTACTGATGCCAAATTTTAATCCCTAGTAATATTTTTCAGAAAGTTGGCATGTATATTACACAGTTTCAAAAAAAAAAAAAAAGCACGCGTGGTCCTTTTCCATTATTCTGCGTGGAAATGTCAAAGGAAGATAAGCCCTAGAATAAATTCAAAATCATTAAAACATTATATGATGTAGGCTGACATTAAAAAAACAAAATGAATCCTAGATGGGTTTGTAATTCCCTTGTTCAACTAATTTAACATTTGCACCTATACTAAACACTGCAGGAGTATAGTCGCTTGGTAACTACACACTTAAGCTTCTTGAAAGAGCCGAGGGTCAATGAATTAGAGATGTTACAGAAGCATTTGCTTCAAATAACAGCAGTTGTTAGTTCTACTATTTTATCGTGAGCAACTTAGGATAAATTAGCATGTAGTCAGGATAGTTTTTCTTATTTTAATCATTATGGAGCCCTGTTTACCCTGCTTGGTCCTATTCTCAGCCCTTCCAGGTTGTCTCAAGTAGTAAGAGCACATATGTTGTCTTATCCTAATGATTTATTATTAGGTGGTAATGATTACTAAGCTGACATGCAAATTCTTCTGGTGCAGCGAAGGAAAACAAAGACAACAAGGGCGGAGGCCCGTAGCCTGAGCCCGGAGATTCCCTACCTTTGGCCTGAAGTGGATAACAGCTTCATGGAGCGTAAGGCTCGCAAAGGCTGGTATCGTGTCGACTTCGGGCCACATCGAGCCACAGAAACGCGGTACCTGCCCACTACCAGGGACAGACTCAACTTCCTGAGGCGCTACGCTGAACCTATCGCCTACTCATCTTACTCACCTCCCAGAGCCAGTTCCGTTCCTCCACCAGTCAAGAGTGTCAAGACTATCAGATATCCCAGATATTCCTCCTACTGGACTACTCCCAGATACCATTCGTCGGTTCTGATTCCTTATAGGAGGCCAAGATCAATCTCGTACAGTTACTGGTATTACCCAACTCTGGGACCGTACTCAGGAAGATTGTGGACGTCAGCGAGGCACCTCAGCCCTCTGGCAGGACGCGCCAGATCCCTCAGCCCTGTCCGCGTTTCAACCAGCTGGAGCGTAAGTTTGTTCAGAGCTCCAACAGCGCCCAAACCCACGCCAGTCATGCACGTCCTGCTTGCCGGCACCACCGCACTCTTCCTTACTTACTCACAAGCTTACTCACGCCAAAAAATGCAGCCACACTGCTTGTGTGCCAGCTCAGCCCACCCACACCCTGCGCTCCACTCTCCACCTCCACACTTATTACTATATAAATGATCTCCTGAGTCTGGGGTAAAATAAAACACACAACAAATCACTTAGTAATATCTAAAATTCTTTTCTAAAACAATGCTAGTTTGTGTGTTATTTTCACCATTTTTGTTTTTATGCAGTTTGATGCTTGAGTTACACTGCTTTCATGGCCTGGTTTGTTTTTGTTGCAAGTCTGATAAATATATAAATTACATAAAAGAAATGAGTGATAGACGTCTTATCCAAGAGCCGTTTAAAAATGTGTGGGGGTGGATAAGTTAAAAATGTTATCCGCATGTGAACCTTCACCCCTTCCCTCACATTAAAATATTTTACTTCATGTTATGGTGAATGGACGTAATGTGCCACGCGCCATACCATAGGGTTCTAATAGAAGGGGTAATGTGTCTATGAAATTTCACTTGTATGATCTGCTTTTTCGGGTACGTCCCCCTTCCCCACCCTTCTGTAGTGTTTTTAGAGTCGCAAGTCTGGGAGTGGCTTCTTGTGAGGCGTCGTCGAACTAAACCACCTGGGGAAAGCCGCGTCGGGCTCCTGTCGGAAAAGAAGGATGAGAGAGAATTGGAGAAGTGTAGGGAAGAGTTGTTGGGGTTAATTTTGAAGTTTAGTCTTGGAGGTCGATCTAGTAGAGGAGGGATGCAACGCACCTCTCAATCCATGTAAAGAGAGGCATCAAGCCCACCTGGGAGCTACTGACGGAGGTCAGTCTTGGAGGTTGGTCTTACTGGTCAGTTAGGGAGGTCGAGCTAAAGTGCTCACTGACTGTCAGCAATGCAACTACTTGCCACTATCACAACACCTTCACAATGAGGATCACAGACGTCGGGATCCTGACAAAGCAAGGGAGAGAAAGCAGAGAGTTGCAATTTACCAACACTTGGTGTTCGATTCATAACTTAAGAATTGAAGAATACTGCAGCAGGTCTACAGACCCATACTAGGCTAGCCTTTTAAGGAATCACACCTTATAGATTTCATATATTTTTATAGGAAGTCTTATAGGCTTATATCAGAAGTAATAGGATAGAGTGAGAGGATTATAGAAGGTGAGTAGAAAATTAGAAATTTTCACCTTCCTTTTCATATAAATTATTTATGTGGCCATTTTCTATAGGTGATCCTGTTACTTATCCCTGCAGATGTGACAGATATATATGCCATAGATATTTAATAGTGATATTTAATATATTTAGATATCAGCTTCTCTGATATGTGTCTTACACGTAGTGGGATTAAAGCTAATTTTGAATCTTTTATTAAAAAAAAATACAAAATAATACACAATAAGAGGATTTAGCATACACCTACCTTAATATAAATATATATTATAGTTAAAGTCTAAGTCTGTAAGTTTCGGATTTCTAGGGGCTACATTTATGCTCACCCTAGGTTTATAGCACTTAAAATAATACATTAGTTTTCCTAACCGTACTTTAAACTATATGTATTTTTTTATAGATTATAAAAATAGAGAAACATCACTGAAAAACAGATCTTTACCTATTTCACTAAATTTATTATATGTCGTTGTAAAGCTCAAAAATTGTACGAATGTGTAAATACTTGTAAATTTTCACTAAAAATTATGTATGTCCCTGAGAGTTAAGTTCTCCAAAATATTATAAGTTCGAAGAAATATCTAAAATACTTTAAGTTCTTTAAAAATAATGTACGCTCCAATATGTTCTAGTTATATATTACTAAATACAGTATGTACTCTATATGAAGTTAAAAAAGATTTAGTAATATTTTTGCAAAATCCTTGAAAACACTGCTTCAGTTTTTGTTTTATATTTTCTTATTAAATTTCATAAAAAAAATATTTTATAGTCTTAAAAAAAACATTAATTTTCTTTTAAATAATGTTTGCACATAAGTTTTTAGGTTTGCCTAAATAAATTATATATGGCTGAAAATTTCCAGTGGCCCAGTTGTCATACGAAATAATGCAATATCTTACTCTCTATGAAATATTGTGATGTAATATTATATATTGTAATACTGTGACTTCCCAGAACTTTTGTTATATAAAAATATGTATAAAAATTAATATACTAATGGATACGATGTAATTTAAATATACCTCATATTAATTTATTAAATTTATATTTTGAAATGAGATAACGTTCTTGTTCGTAAGTTGATTTTATATGTTGATAGGTAAAATAATTCTGTATGACTTATACACCTATAAACCTCGAATGAGTATAAACCTAGAGTGAGTGTAAACCTCGAATGAGTATAAACCTAGAGTGAGTATAAACCTAGAATGAGTGTAAACCTCTAATGAGTATAAACCTAGAGTGAGTATAAACCTAGAGTGATAAAACTAGAGCGATATAAACCTAGAGTGAGTATAAACCTAGAGTGAGTATAAACCTAGAGTGAGTATAAACCTAGAGTGAGTATAAATCTAGAGTGAGTATAAACCTAGAGCGAGTATAAACCTAGAGTGAGTATAAACCTAGAGTGAGTATAAACCTAGAGTGAGTATAAACCTAGAGTGAGTATAAACCTACAGTGAATATAAACCTAGAGTAAATATAAACCTAGAGTGAGTATAAACCTAGAGTGAGTATAAATCTAGAGCGAGTATAAACCTAGAGTGAGTATAAACCTAGAGTGAGTATAAACCTAGAGTGAGTATAAACCTAGAGTGAGTATAAACCTAGAGTGAGTATAAACCTAGAGTGAGTATAAATCTAGAGCGAGTATAAACCTAGAGTGTAAACCTCGAATGAGTGTAAACCTAGAGCGAGTATAAACCTAGAGTGAGTATAAACCTAGAGTGAGTATAAATCTAGAGCGAGTATAAACCTAGAGTGAGTGTAAACCTCGAATGAGTGTAAACCTAGAGCGAGTATAAACCTAGAGTATAAACCTAGAGCGAGTATAAACCTAGAGTATAAACCTAGAGTGAGTATAAACCTAGAGTGAGTATAAACCTACAGTGAATATAAACCTAGAGTGAATATAAACCTAGAGTGAATATAAACCTAGAGTGAATATAAAACTAGAGTATAAATTTACCCTAGAGATCCAAAACCTAGAGCCTACATTTTTGTGTAAGTTAAGCTATGTATACTTTATATCCTCTTATGTGTATTATTTTGTATGGTATTCTATAAATGATTAAAGTGTCTTATATTTTTTGGTAACTCTCCTATGAACAGTATATATTTTAAAACTTGATGCCTACGTGCACTGACACCATAACCCACTACCTATGATATCGCATCTGTAGGAATGACTAGCAGGTGTTTTACAAGGAATGGTGACTAAAATTATATCACTGAATAGGGAAAGGCCATTTCTCTTTCCATTTTTACATTCTTGCCTTCTAAATTCCTCTTACTTCATCCCACTCCTGCTGATATAAGTATTCTGTTGAATTCCCCCTTTTCCACCTCACGGCAGAAATCGATCTCTTTTGGTAATTGTAAGTCCTTGGGGAGCCTGTGAAAGGCTTAACACGTCGTTTGTTACGGTCGACAACATAGCAAATGGTAACTGTGGTGATGCTTATACTAGGATGATGAAAATCTCAAAACATTCATGACATGTAGGTGAGTACAAATAGGAAGGCGTCTGTCCGGCACTCAGCAGACGGAGGAGCAAGTTTCCAGCATATCTTGCGCTGAATGACCCACATGGGTTTAGCGCTAAATATGAAATATTTATTTACTATTCAAAACAAGAATGGTATGTGCATTTGTTTGTGGGTACGGCATGGTGGGAATATGATGACGTTATATGCAGCACCTTAATTCACAGAGATATATAACTTGTGTACACACACACACACGGGAGTTTGGTCTTTTTTATTTTTAAGAAAAGAAAGTTAACTTGATTAGTCGTGTATATGTAAAATGCGTGGAATGCTATTTTTAATTACTAGGGAGCTACTCTTCCTGAACTGTCCAGTCAACTTTGACTTGAACTTGTCACTTTTGAAAGCATTGCTCTCTCAGTGCTACCACTATCACGTTCTAAAACCACACCAAGAAATTACTGTTTTTTACATAAAAATAGTAGTCACTTAATACATCACTTTACAGACATGTTATTTCAATGTAACTTGTTCATCCTAACAAAGTCCTATGATGATAATTAGGTACAAGTATAACACCAAGTAAATCAATTAATTTATCTTTGGAAACACCAAGAAAAAGAGTAAATTTTGCGGAAAATGATGTTAAATCGACTAAATTATATACAGATCTGCGTCCTTGTAAGGACTTTGGGCTGTATTCAGGTATAGTTACGGTAATTATATCCTGGTTTTAATTCGTAGGATTACAATGAGTATGGTGTAGGGAGGACCTCCCTGGTAACTCAGTACCACCAACACATTATTATTTTCCCTTCACTGTGTGGTAAACTAATTTATGCTGTTTTTCCTCCGCCATAATTAAATAAACGCTTAAATGACTGCAATATCTTTTCTTCTAAATAATGTAAATGCATAAACTAATGACGGGAACAATTTCCTAGGACAGCAATGGCGAGGCTACTCTGCACACACCCGGTCGTACCATTGGTCACCTCAGTACCTCAAAAACATCTAAACTCACGACAGACCCACAAACTACAGGACCGGACGACGATTCGGTCCACCGTGTGACCATAATTGAGTTTATTATTTATTTCACTCATATTGTTCTTGCAAACCTGTCATATTAGGGTTATATATATAATTAAATATGTATACTTAATTGAAGTAGACAGCGAGTATGATGCTTTACTTTTCATCCACCATAATATTGTATGTTTTAAACATTTTAAAATACAGCAAACAGTTGGTGAAGCAGAAAAAAATATATATTAAATATCTCGTGTTTTTCGTCCTAGCTTGAAGTTTTGACTGATAAACCAAAATCTGTTTGGCCCCCACATCCCCCCCAAAAAAAGTATTGCTGCAAAAATTCCTCCAAAATCAGTACGAAGATAGCGAAATTTAAGAAAAAAAAAAGAAATCACGTAAATACAGCCACGTAAATTGTACGTGGCTGTATTTAAGTAAAGTTAGGTTGGGTTGGTAGGTCTTACCAATGCAATGATATATTTTTAATGAAGAGTAACGTTTAGAGCAGTTCCACTGTTACGTGATACACACACACACACACACACACACACACACACACACAATAAATATATATAAAAATATAAATATAAAATTTACAAACAAACATCAATATATATATATATATATCATATATATATATATATATATATATATATATATATATATATATATATATAATTATATGTAGTGTTATAGTAAAGAGAGAGAGAGAGATAGAGAAGCATGTTGTATGTATAATCTCCCCACACAGGTAACCAGGAATGATAAAATTTTCTTGCATCAGCCCCACCACCTTACCAACCATGTGTGTTCTCCACCTGGGGTGATCCCTTGTTAGACCACCATAGTAAGGACTGACCCATACATGTGTTTTCCAGCTAGTGCGATCCCTTGTTAGACCACCATATTGAGGGCTGATCCACCCATGTGTTTTACACATGGGTTGATCCTTGTTAGAAAACAACAGCTAGGCCTGACCCACCCATGTGTTTACACCTAGGACTCGTATACCTCGCCCTACTCCTCCTACTCGGCCACCACCACCTACAGTCCAGACAGCACGGAGGTGAGGGAGGAGAGACGGAGTGTGTCCCCCGCCCCCGCCTCCTACAGGCCTTCGGCAGCCACCCAGCTCATCCTTAACCGAGTAGCGTTAAGGACACCTCGCAGTTCGGTGTCGCCGTTGGTCAGGGTAAGACCCCAAGATGTCGGCCGCCAGCAACGCTGCTTTCCCTCGGATATATTTAAGTTCTTTTGACTATTTTTCTGCGTTTCTATTTTTTATACAGTACGCTCTCTTATAAAATTATTCTACATAGCACGATTTTTTTGCACATGAAACTGAATAACGCATACTATAAAGGCCTTATCACAAGCTGTTCAATTTGGATGCATTGTTTCAGTTGCAATTGCAAAAAATGCACTATATAGAGGAGCTTTATTAGACAGCTTACTGTGCTCTTATTCTCGCTAATGTAACAACGGGGCGGAATTTTCTATTTTCTTTATTTTTTTTTGTACTAAATCACATCATTTCAATTATTAATATTTTTTTTTTGTTTCGGTAATTTTCCTCGCTTTCTTTCGTTTCTCCATGATTTCGCTTTCTATACTGATTTATCTAATCCCGTAATTTCTCTAGTTAAGTAGAAAATATTTATTTCGCCACTGTGAATATGTATCTACTTTTCCCGCCTGAAGCGGCTAGTGGATGTAGCCTAACATGTTGAAGGACGTAAATTCCAGTTAGGCCCAGCATGGTGACATTTCTTGACACATTTTGGGCATCGATTGTCTCTTGTCCTCCCACGACATTGTTACCCGGCTCAGTAAATTCTCACCACTAACACGGATGAAAAACCTTCCCATTCACATGGGTGTATAAGTTCCTTCTCGCCACTCATACGGGTGAATATCTGCTTTCTCACCACTCACACGGGTGAATAACTTGCCTCACCACTCACACGGGTGAATAACTTGCCTCACCACTCACACGGGTGAAAAACTACCTTATCGCCATTCACACGGGTGAATAACAACCTTTTTGCCGTTCACACGGGTGAATATCTGCCTTCTAACCACTCACACGGGTGAATAACTTGCCTCACCACTAATATGGGTGAAACACTACCTTTTCGCCACTCACACGGATGAATAACTGGCCTCACCTCTCACTTGCGTGAATAACAACCTTCTCGCCACTCGCTACCCTATTATGCTGATCCTATTTCTGTGCATAACACTTCCTATTGAAAAGGATGTATACACCATGAGGTGTATGTCTCTCAGTGTATATATCCTGAGAGTTTACTTTAGCCCATTTAATAGGGATTAAAGTACTCTTGACTGGCGGTAAACAAGGGATATGCAGCCTTAATGACCCTCGTGTAGTTGATAGGCTTTTACGCCTCATTAACCAACTTATTCTCTTCTTTCTTATAACCTTGAAATGTCTTTCGGAACTTTGTATGGCTAAAACTTATTAAATTTATTTAGAATTGATTATTTTGTTAAACATTTTATTATCATATTTCGTTTTTGAGATGTAATCAATATTGCAACTTTTTTCACTTCATTTATGACTATAAAAAAAAATTGATCAAATACTGTAGTCTCCTACTGATTTAAATGTATTAATAATATGTGTACTTCTTTTGCCTTACAATAAAAAATGATGTTCTTATGTTTCTATAATATATATTTTTTTGCAAGACGTTTTTAACGTGTGCTGACCAAGGTGGAGGAACATTATTATTATTATTGCTAGTAGTAGTTGTAATATTATTTTTATTATTGTCAATATTATTATTAATTATTATTATTATTATGTCGAAGCGCTAAACCCATAAGGGTTATACAGCGCCTGGGGGAGGGGATATGGGAGGCAATTCGATTTGTCCGAGGAAGGAGTAGCTCCAATTCCTCGGATCAAAAAACCCTCTCACCATCAAGGCACTCGCACTTGAAGGGCAGAGGCAGTAACAGGTGAGTGTTAGGGTTGGCCATTTGTCATTATTCACTAGTAATTACAGAAGCAGAGCTAAGCTGGTGCTGTTCCCTCTTCATCGATTACATTATATATTTTTATTTTTGTACAATAACTATTTCCTACAGATTTTTTTTTAATATTTTACATGTTTTTGTGAAGATAAATATTTTTAAACCTCAGTTTATAGGCTCTTCCATTAATTATCTCAGATAAGGTTATGTCTCCTCGTTTACACAATATATCATTTGATATTTATATGTATAATGTAACCAAATTTCACAGCATATATGTGCTGAGAATTTAATTTCTGTATTAGGAATTCATGTATTTTTATCTGGTGGGGAAAGGTTACTTATATATAATATATATATATATATATATATATATATATATATATATATATTTATATATATGAAATGCCTAGTGGTATTTTTGAACCTTCACTTAAATCCACAAACAGTAATGTGTATGGCAGTTATAAATATCAAAATTGATGTCATATTGTGTATAAACACACAGATTATCATAATGTTAAATCGAACGTCTCTCTAGACAGCATTTCAAGATGGAGAGTTGATGTAACCCACATTTCTCAGCATAATGGCAGATGTTGCTTGCAGGGCTACCCACAGTTTGGTCCACCACCTCCACCAGTGCGTATCGTGCCGCGTTTACCCCCACCATCCTACTACGACTACGGTGGTTACTATAGTTACGTCCCACTCCAGCCAAGGATTAGGTTTGTCCCTGTCTGTGCTTCTTCTCAAGTGAAAAAAATCTTGATAACCCCCCCCCCTGAATATTTTCATATTTTTTTTTCAAACATTTTTGGGAAGTTCAATTTTTTATATTTAAATCTAAAACGTATGTTTATAATTAAAAAAAAACTGAGTTAAAGTTACTAAATTTATAGCTTTTGTAGCGTTAGGGTTGGAGGTTGGTTATCAAAACTTAATTTTTTTAATCAGAATTTGAGATTTTAAAAGGAACAGAATTTATTGTTTTAAATGGCTTTTGAAGTTTTAAAGGAGGCTTTGAAAGTTAAAAAATAAATTTTAATTTTTATAAAGCATTCTGAAGTTTCAAAATGTAATTTAAAGTTCTAACAGGGAATTCGTTTTTCAAAGTAAATTTGAGGATTTTAAAGAAAATTTATGGTTAAAAAGGTGTCCAGTTTTTTTTAAAACGATTCATAGATTTTAGGAGTGAATTGTAAAGAGATGTGTTCAGGAAAGAGACAGAGAAGTGTGTTGAGGGAAGACTAAAAGCTCCCTTCACCCCGACAGCCGCTACGACAGCTACCTGGATGACGAGCTGCCTGAACCTGCCTACATCCCACGCTACCGTCCTCGTGTCGCAGATACCCTAGACGATGCCGACTTCCGTGAAAGAGTATGTTCTCACTTCCCTCGCACACCCATGCTCCTCCCATACCAACGATCTCATACATAAGCCTCCATCCTTAAGTCATGCTCACATCTCAGTCAAGACCTCCATCTTTAACGCCTATGTATCCATACTCTTGCCAACGCCCCCTTAACCTCACTCGTCACATACACTCACAAACTCAGTATCAAGAATCATAATCCTTTTTATTTATTCTATTATTTCTCAGATGACGAAATCTTTTAATTTGACTCTCCTGTGGTAGAAGATAGTCCTCAGCTGATAGCCTCGGAGTGGACTCTAAAGTTCTCTACTATATGTCTTACCTTTGTACATGTATGCATACTCTGGGGTATATACTCTTGAATATACACACACTGAAATTATCGATGGTTGTGGCCAGATATGAGCTTCGAAGAACTTGGATGAACGGCAGACTGCCAACGTGTGTCAATGCAGACACATGTATCAGAACACGGCTCTACTGGGGCGACGTTTCGCTCTGAGGTTTACATCCTTTGGACGAATAGTTGTCACAATGAAAGCCTGTTCTTCCGTTTGTGTATTCTTCAACGGAGCCACTTAACAAGTGATCTGTTAGGTAAAACGAGCAAGAACAATTAATGAGACATTTATTAGGCTACATTACGCTCTCCACCTGCGTTATCAAACCACTGTTGGTTTAATAAAGCTCTTTTAAAGAGAATCATAGCCACTATGTGTCAGTAGTTGCTCATGCGTCTTTTAACTGGACATATTGTAGGTAAGTCTATCAATAGTGGTACATCAAGTTATGTATCAAACCTCTGTAGCCGCCATGGCTGTGGAGACTTCATCCATCAGCTGGAGGTCCAGTTACCCGTTAAGTTTCACGTTGATGTGTTGTAGAACAACGTGTGGGTGGATGTGAAGCACTAATCCACAATTCGGAGGCGAAACTACAAACGATGCTTTGATCATTACGAGTGGACGTAATTAAGGTTCACGACGACTTGATAATGGTTCAAAATGTCTAAAATTTCCTCCCCAAAATGTGGATTAATTACGAAAGGTGAATTTTCCCAATTTACTTTTAGGTGTAGCACGTAGATTGTTTATCTATATACATAGCGTATTTGTGAATGTGTTAATTACCCATGTGTTCTTTTGAGTTCTTGATATGCAGTGAGAACTATAGAGAGTTTTAACCAGCATTGTAGGAAGATAGGGACTTAGTGTAAAAAATGATAGGTTATCACAGGTAAAGCTCCAAACCTTGAAAGACATCACCCGCTCATAAACAAATAAAACAGCTCACGTGAATGATTGAATTTGAAGCGTTATCTAAAATGTTATTCATTGGTGGACCTCACAGATCTGTGGTGTAGAGAGCTCTCCTGGGGTAACCTCTGTATATTATTGTCAAAATTTGGTGTGATATCTACTTGTAGCTGTAGGAGCAGAGTTATGCTCGCGGTGTACCGTCTCTAGTGTGTCTGTGTGACCTTATACTGCCAGGGAAGACTTTTTGTATGAAAATTGATGTTATGAAGTGTTGTTGAAGGTATGTCCTGCCCTCCAACAGAGCCTCCCTCACCTCACCACCACCACTACAACCACAACTACCACCCCACGGACCACCGCCCATACCAGAGGCTACTCCCCAGGTGTAAGTCTCCCTTACATGTTGTCTCGCATACCACGTGTCTACCTCGAACACTGGTAACTGGTAGCCTGGCCACGCTCATAGTTTTAAATGCTAGGGATAGAACTTAATGCTAAAGATAGACTTTCTTGCTAGGGACAGCGTTTGTTGTTAGGGAGAGCGTTTATGTGTGAGACATTACTCGGTACTAAGGCTTTGTGCTAGCTTTAAGTCTGAGGACTCTGTATTTGCGTCATGGTGTACTTAATTTCGAACTCACGAGTCCTGCTCGACAGACATCCAAATTTTTCTCAGTGAGAAAAGTGTAGCAAATTTAACACATTATTCTTGAACGAACTTGAGTTTACCTGTGTGTTGTGTTGCTGGCTAGAGAAAGAAAATAGCAAGTGGCACACAACACAACATGGGTCTTCTGGATTGTAAGATCTTGCATAACAAATATTAATACAAGGTAATCATTAAATTTACCTCCGAAACATTGGTAAAAATATACGTACAAACTCTTTCTCAAAAAATATTAAAATGTTTTCACTTCTCAGATTTTTCTGGAGGTATAATATATTTTTTTTTTGGGGGGGGGATAAACTCCAGAAGCAGGTACAGATATAATTCGAAATTACTTTTAATAACTAGGAGAACGGCAAAAACGTAAAGCGGAGAATAGGACATTCTTGTATCTACCTGTTCTTGTCAAGGATTACTTTCCTGTCAGTGACGTGTTCCTCTTTCCTTGTGCCGATAACTTCCAGTCTGGAAAGTAGAGAACTTTTGAAGTGTAAACCTTCCCTCCTTGATGCAGGCGAGAGTACAGGGGCTCTTGATTGAAGGAACTGAACCTGTACTGCCCTTCGTTGGATCGAACTTGATTGCTTTCCATTACCCACATGCTGTATGACCTCTACAGGTTTAGATCTTTCTAAATATAATAATATCGATGATGATCAACAATAATAATAATAAATAAATAATATCACTGTCTAGCCTATAATATAAATAGCAACAGAATAAATCATTGATTCATGCTGGAACTTAAATATTATTGCCAAACCTTTTACTCTGTTAGATGGCTTTATTAACCAGCCACTCTAACCTCTCATTCTGCTAGACTCATATTTACCTTTACTGGTTAGGAGTCGCTGCTCTATATAACTAATTGGTCCTAGAACAAGCTGAATTTAGGTAACTTATAACTTACACAAGACTTTATTAATGTCATACAGTTAATGTAATTTGAGCAAATCGGAGCTTAGGAACATATACCCCGACTTAATTTATCCGTCCATGAATCTGGAGTTTGTCAGCTAAGTAGGCAGTCTTTTAAACTCAGTTGAAAAGTCGTGGCAGATTTGGGATTGAAGTGCCACCTGACCCTGGAGTGTCAGCTTTGACCCTGGAGTGCCAACTTCTGGCCCTGGAGTGCCAACTTCTGACTCTGGAGTGCCAACTTCTGGCTCTGGAATGCCAACTTCTGACCCTGTAGTGCCAACTTCTGGCTCTGGAGTGCCAACTTCTGGCCCTAGAGTGTCGTGGCAGATATGTTTGTTGGTCTCGAAGACTGAGGAGTTAATCCTACCAACCTTTCATTTATCTCCCACTTAAAACTGACTTACTCCAGGTCACTTGCATTATCAGTTATCCTATTTATTCATTGACTCAGTCTAAATGCAAATCAGTGAATTCTTATAGTCTTACATATCAAGAAATAAAATATATCTTTTGGTCTAGAAATTTCAACGAGAAACATAAAAAACGAGAGAAAATCGATGATTAAAAATGAACGGTGACTTATGTTGCAAACATATTTTTTGTGTGTGTGCTTGTTGTACGCACGTGTGCATGTAAAAAACTTATTGGTAGCTACACACACTCACACACACACACACACACACCACCTGTGTGGGTGTATAAGTTTAATGGCCACTACGTGATTGTGTGAATCAGTAAGAGAAGAAGTTACCAGTGGGTCGAGGCAGACGTCGTGATAACACAAGACTATGTTCAGTGGTACAGTAATAAGTCATACAGTGACTTGACATCTTTCTCAGTGCAGAAACAATTTTGCCATAAAAATTTTCCATTAACTCTGGATTATTAAATCCTTTTCTTTAAATAATTCGGTACCAACTAGAGGATTACGGAGATTTCTTGCCTGTATTAAGTCTTTCCAAACTTTGCGACGGTAAGAACATTAAGAACTGTATGTGTCTCTAGCACTTAAATTAACCAGAACAGCTTCTTAACATGACTTTGAGAGAACAGCTTCCCGTGGGGTTAAAACGAGCCTTAATGCGTGGAAGAGTGCCAGCTTTAAAGCGTGGGAAAGTGCCAGCTTTAATCTTCTTAATGTATCGAGGCAATGAGCTCTGCATGACAAATTAAGTTCCTGTGTTAATGAATCAATCGCTGTTTCTATCGTAACAAAATTTAACAGTTTTAACACGAATATTTTGTAGTTCCCGTTTTTTCCTTGCGGAACAAAAGACAATCAGTACCCGGCTCGGCATCATAAGATCCTTAACTACTGCAGCATAACCAGTCATGAGTCGCGGATTAAAAAGAAGCGCTGTTTAATAAAGATATGCCACTAATAGCTATTGAATGTACTAGTGCTTCCAGTTGTTGCTTGACGACCCTCTGGCTGGACAGCAGTGACGCTGCAGCATACTCGCCAGTATCTCCAGTGGTGGCAGCACCCTGCCAGTGGTGGCAGCATCCTGCCAGTGGTGGCAGCATCTTGCCAGTGGTGGCAGCATCCTGCCAGTGGTGGCAGCATCCTGCCAGTCAGTGGCGGCAGCATCCTGCCAGTGGTGGCAGCATCCTGCCAGTCAGTGGCGGCAGTATCCTGCCAGTGGTGGCAGCATCCTGCCAGTGGTGGCAGCATCCTGCCAGTGTGGCAGCATCCTGCCAGTCAGTGGGCAGCATCCTGCCAGTGGTGGCAGCATCCTGCCAGTGGCGGCAGCATCCTGCCAGTGGTGGCAGCATCCTGCCAGTGGTGGCAGCATCCTGCCAGTCAGTGGCGGCAGCATCCTGCCAGTGGTGGCAGCATCCTGCCAGTGGTGGCAGCATCCTACCAGTGGTAACAGCATCCTGCCACCCCCGAGCCACACAAACCCTCACATACTCACGCACAGACACACGCACACACTACTCAAACATGATCAGCTAGATGGGTATACACACACATGTAACTCGTTTATTCCACTTCACTTGACACATCCAAAACACGCATTTTTATACCTAATTTCTATGTCCGGCTATACTTGTATGTCGAGTGTGTCTATTAAAACATACAAGAAATAGTCTCCATAAGTAGTGCACCACTACTTAACGCAAGCCTTCAAGGTTTTATCAATGTCCATTACGTTCCTTAGTAAATAAAAAGTAGTATATCGTCCGCTGTGTCCACAAGAGGGCTCTCGCTTCCCACAGTACGTAACACACTATGTGGCTAACTCTGTGCTCAGTATGTCAAACATGGATGATCGTGAATTACTACTTGGAAAAGTGAGTTTCGAGCCATTGTTCATGTTCCATCGTGGTACAGTGGTACCAGGTGTTCAAGTGCCACCTAGCTAGCCCAGGATATTGTATAATACTTGGTATAAACACTTTAAGTTTGTAAAATTCGTGGCACACTGACGGTTCATGTTTTAAAAGCTTTCAATATAGTATGTCCAAGTAGGTATTTAAAACTCTTACTCTCTCAGGCACCGATTATAACCACTTGCATGTAGAATAAATCCATTAGGAATATCTGACAAGAGGTGCACCATATACTTTACAAGTCAACGTCACTGATGCCAAGGTTGTCTGAGAGACTTGAGGCTCTTCGAACACTACCTTCTGTATGACGGTCTCTGAAGGTAATTCAGATCTTTGAAGATGAAATGCTAAACACATCACTTACATTACAGATAGAACGTCTGAACATGACGCATTGTTACACCTGTCGAACGGGACGCAATGCATGACACTGAACGTAAGCCACTGAACATATTGCTAAGTACAACCCAGGTGAACAAAACAGTCAGTACCACGAGTCCTCAGTCCAACAGTAAACATCACAGTAAATTATCTCTACAGATTCTACGTCTCTCGCTTCATAACCATCTTCAAGCCTCTATAAATAACACTAATTTCTCCCCTAATGCTTTTTTATTGATTTTTTTTCAGTGCCATTTATATTGGATTTTACTTCTTGCTTATTGTGTGACATCACATTTATCGGTATATAGTCATTATTTATCTTTATTTGCTTTTCCCCACTATTTATTATAAGTTCTTACAATTCTAAAATGATAGAATAGATAGTAATTCATAGTAAAAGCTTAATTAATTTTTTTGTAATATATGTTTTTTAATATATTCTACTTTCCCTTAAATTTGCTCTATTATTGTTTCTATATTTTATATAATCAGTGTTGCCTCTCTATTCCTATTTTTTTTCATTAAATAATTGCTCATGCTTTTAAAGAAAAAATCTTTATTGCATAACTAGTAACAAAATTCTAGATAGATCTTAGTACAGTTCGTAGAGTTAACATTAAAAATTCCTACAGTGCAGATTAATCCACCAAGAGAATAGAATACCGAGAGTTGTATACCTGACTGTGCATATACACTGAGAGTCTACACTAATCATTAACTTGGGGATTAAAATATTCTTGACCGGCCGAGTTTTGGGGATTTACAGAGTTAATGACCCTCATGTAGTCAGTAATGGTTTTTCTTGAACACCAACTTTTGATTGCATGACCGCTTGGTTTATTAGGTTCGGTGGCCGTCGACTGCTCGAAGGCCATATAAGGCTGCGTATAATCTATGCACCACCAGTCAAGTATACACTAATCCCTAATTTTTCCTAGTAAATCAGACTATATAATTTGTATGAAGTGAATTGTGTGTTGAATATACTATATGACACTTCCCTCGGTTGTATATACACTGCTACTCTCAGTGCATACACATCGAGAACTATACACCGAATATACACAAACTACACATTAATCTATTTAAATTAATATCTTGTGATACTAAGAGATAATGTGGCGTTCAATTACATAAACGTTTTAGTGTGGGCAGCAATTTTACATGAAGGGAAAACGATCTGACAGGAGTTCATTTTTTTCCACTCATATTCTATCGCATGATCTGAAGAGTACAAAAACAAGAGCATTTTTTTTTCTCATGCATCAGCACAAAGACCTTTTTAAATGTTCCAGCCTGAAGTCATTCTTACTAGACATTGCCAGAAGTCATTCCTATTTGCCAATGATTAAATCATTCCTCTTATAAAGTCATTCTTATTGGACATTGCCTGAAGTCATTCTTAAAGTAATGGTCTTCCAGAAGACCACTCCTTTAAGAAATCCTCCTTACAAGACTTTATTATATACCTGAAGTTACTAGTATTTGTCTGTAAATAATTCTTGCTAGTCACTGCCTTCCAGAACTCACTCTTACTGAGACAATGTCTGCCTGAACTCACTTATACTGGTCATTAGCTTAACTTACATCTTGAAGAAAGTTTTTGAGGTCAGTCCCTCAGCCTGGAGATGCGCTCACCTCCGTAGTTCCTGACTGTAGCGATGAACACCTCTCCAAGCTGTGGGACTGACCACCTCAAAGACAATTTCTCCAAAGTTGATGAACTGATCACATCAACTTACATCATGCCGAGAGCTGGAGTCTCAATTGAGTTTACATATGCTAGTCTTATATGCTACCACGCACAAAGACAAACTTCTATAGAGTTAATATAATTCTGTTTTTAAATAACATAGAGCCGCAGTGATGTGACATAAAGACTTGTGGATTATAGGCTATGTAATACTGTTAATGTCCTAATTCTGCTTCTAGTTCAGGTCTGGTCCAGAAATGACGTAAGAACCAAGTCACCTCTTTGTTTTAAAGGTTTGTTCTTAAGAAATAAATCTAGTGCAGTGCAAGTCTTTACAGTAGTAATAATTGTAGTAGGCGAAGAAGATGACAAAGAGAAAGCCATCTCACTTCGCTTCGAATTCATTGTATCATGGAAGGACCAGACCTGTGCTTGGCTAGCTTTGCCGGCACCTCTTTTGGCCAGTGCCTGTGCTTAGTGTAGTCGCTGCAGCTAACCAACTAACACCCCCCAGGCACCAGCACCTGCAACACGTGCGGTGACCACAGGGGAAGGAGAAGACAGCCTGGCCCTGGTTCCCTTTCGTGGACGCACCGCCGGCAGGCTCAGGCCCCACCTGCAGTCCCTGCCCCGGCAGGAGACAGTGCCGGGGGAGACTGAAGGTGAGAGGCATCTAGCCCGTCTGGCGCACCGCTACCCAAGCCTCTCTGAACCACAGATGCTCCAGGACCACGTCGACAAGATGCGCATCCGTCTTAAGTCCCTGGCTTACTCCCTCGACCCCACCGGCCCAGTTCCTGAGATCATCCTGCCAGAGCGACACAAGAAGTAAGTAGTCTTGCATATAGATCATCCCGTCTCCTCACACACACACACACACACAACACACACACACACACACACACACACACACACACACACACACACACACACACACACACACACACACAACTTGTACGTAGGTCATTACATCACACACCCCACATACACGTACAAGCACACAGCTTGTACGTAGGTCATTACATCACACACACACACACACACACACATACAGACACACAACTTGTACGTAAGTCATTACATCTTCACACACACACATACAAACACACAACTGTCATAATGGCTGTTTCGCAATACTGCAAAAATGTGTGGTGGAGGTGCATGTGTGTTAGTGCAAGTGTAGTGGTGTTACTGGTGTGGATATTAACACACTTCTCCTCCACAGGTCTGCTGCAATAGACGACAAGAAGTACTCATCCGGTGAGACCCCAACACAGCGTCAGTCTTGATATATCTCGTCATGATGCATAATTCCATCCTTCCTCTTTTTGCATATTGTTGATTTTAATTCAGTCTTTGAAAAATAACAAAAGTACAATCTGTTGTGTAATGGATATATCTTTTTGCATTTGAAACTCGGTGACATTTCCCTGATATTTTGATATATTATTGTTCATTTTTAACATATTTTGCACATTTCAGCCACTTTAATTATTTATCATTTATTAAGTGCAATAACTTAATTTCGTAAACAAGATTTCTTAACTATAAGACCATATTTCTACTTCGAGTTTTTAACTCCATATTAAATAAATATTTAATTAAATACCAAATATATTTGTCTCTGCATACTTTCTATAAATAATAATGTGATTAATGCCATTTCCATGTATAATATATACCAGACCCCTAATATGTCTCCCCCACGACCCTGTGACCGTGTGAGTGTGTGTGTGTGTGTGTAAGTGTGAGTGCCGCACACTGAGTGTGCTAGTGTAGGTCTAAGTGTATATAACGCCTGAGGCTGGGTATACAGGGCCCAAGCACCTGGCTTGTGTAGAGTTTGCCGGAGGGCAGCCCCAATGGAAGCGCAAGGCCCGTGCCCGCTACCCTGCCGAGGACCCCGAGCACGTAGCCACCTTGGTCAAGGCTGAGTACGTGGACGCTGAGGAAGCCCCTGGTAGGTCCTCCTCTATCTACCGTATCATTGTGACACAGTCCCCCACCTGTACCAGACCTACCTGCTCAATCCACTTCTACTAGCTTTCAGAGTCAAATTTCAACGTAGATTTCAAAACACAAACGATCATGTTTGAATCTGGTTAAGTTTTTGTTGGTTCGTTAATAGGAAACTAAAAAAAAATCTAACTAAATTGCAGTGGTTATCATTGTGAATAACGTCCCTGGCGCAGATGGGTGACTGGTTCCTATACCTTGGACAAGGCTCGCTTTCCTCTATACGACGTGGGAAAGCTGAGCCGAGTTGAAGGTCAGGAAACTGACGCTACATAACTCTATCCCGCTTCCGCTACCGCTCAGTATCCTGTTGCTGCTACTGCTAGCACCACTGACAATGTGCCCAAGGGGCCAACATTTCGATACTGACCTCCGTGGGAAGGAATGCATGGTGGTTTTCTTTCTCTCTCCACACTTGACTCGATTACACACTGACGAGGGAAGAGTAAGTTGTCAGAGAACGAGTGTTGATTCTGTTTTTAGATACTTCATGTTTATGTCGTAAATAACTTACTAAAGACGAACACAGTGCGAGCAAAGCCTGCCAAGGTTTGTATGAATGTATGTCTAATCCACGAAGTGATGGACCTCTGTATCATACGTGTGTGTGTGTGCGAATCTCTTTGTGTTTATACTTAAATTCTAGTGACTTATCATTTTTATGATCCGCTTCATCACAAACATTTTCTTTTCTTGCACGAATGTTAATATGTGCATGCAAGCACGAATGCAAAGCATGTGAAGATTATATGTAAATGACTAAATAATCCCTGTGAGAAGTACGAGTTACGTCACGTTGTCAGGAAGATACCTAACACTGCTGTAGGAATGACACATATTACAAAAGAAAGATTTATTTGGACAACGTTTCCCTCTTTGTAGACCTTTATCAAATCACGCCTTGATAAAGCTCTACACAGAGCGAATACTTCTCATCTAGTATATCTTTCTGGAAGCTAAGCAGACGGAGGATCCAGCCTCTTCCACTTTTCGTCCTGAATGCCTCACATAAACATGATAAGCTACACAATCTACACAGAGCTAAATGTAGTCATTTCTTCACTGTTGTCCTGGGATTCACCTAACCATGACCACTAGTACACTAAATACAGTTTATGTTCTCGCCTATAAATTGAAGGTTGCTGTTAATGCTACGGCCGCGCTCACTGCCACAACTCTGCCTCAGTAATTCATTAACTAACTCATGCTAAATAAACAAAATGTGACTTACGCTCCAGTGATTCTTTCACAAATACGCGAAGGTGACCTGGATATAATTTTGTCTTGTACAGGACTTACACAAGATTAATTTGCTAAGAGAATGTCTCTTATAAGGGAGTAACAGCTGTGACTGTAGTACCTCCAGATATCAGTCATTAATAACCAACGCTCCGTGACTATACTTCCCCGACATGGTAATTAATATTCTCTTAACTCTGGTATAATAGTTCACGCGGAAAATAATTTAATTATGTTCACTTTAATATCTTATAATTAGCAGAATTTGCGAACTAAAGAGCCAAAAAGACTTTAAAAAAAATTGATCCGAGGGACCAAGACATTAAAAAGACCTCCGTTCCCTTATAACTTGACGGTCTTCATTGTTTGAGTTTTAAATCGTATTTTTTTACGTTTTTTATATATGTTTCTCTTTTTTTTGTAATCATAAATATAAAGTTAGCGTTGCGGTGAACGTGTCGTGGCTGCCACTTTTATCTTCCTTCTCTTTTAAGAGAAGGTGGAGTGAGCGGCCCCATGGGAATGCCAACCGGTGCGTTGGTAAACCCAAGACCCAAACGTTTTATCGCGCACAACCTTCCTCCAGCAAAAACATACCACAGACAAACATAAAACAGATCGTACGGAGACGAGGAGGAGCAGAGTTAGGTGGCGAGTGTGATGAGTAGGGAAGAGAGTGTTTTGTTGGGGCGGGGGTAATGGTAATTGGTGGAGATCCTGTCCTCTGGCCTACCTCTCCCCTCCCTCTCCGTCTCATCTGCTAGTGTGCGACCACCACACCCTTTGTGTAGCACGATGGCTGTCCTGTCCTAGCTTGTCCTGGTATGTATCTGTACTCGTTCTTACTGCCTTGGGCACCTCCCACACTTAAAGATAAGAGTGCACAGCGGGTGCGGCCGACATTGGGTAAGAGAGTGTGAGAAGCATAAGAGAACAACACTAAACGCATGACTTGGGGTGTAACCACCGACTTGGGGTCCATGACTACTGAAGGAGACATATTAAGGATTAAACCCTTAAGGAGAAACATAATGAACTGAGAAAGCAAAAACAAAAAAATGGCGACCTTTGACAGCTCTGGAGTTCAACGAGCTGCCTAAGTTGGCATCGCGGAGGCAGCGGTACTACCCTGAGGACGAGCACATGAAGGACAACTTGAGGATTCAGTGTCTCAGTCACTACAAGACCACGCGCACCGCCGCCGGTAAGTCTTCCCTCACACTACAGAAAATGGGATGTACAGTTTAAGGGACATTAGTTCAACATATATATATATCTAATCGAAGTCTCAATTGGGCGTTTCAAAGAAGCTCTCCGCAAAATAAATGTCAATAGAATTTTTTTTAATGTAAGATTACACGCCCTGGTAATCAAAGTGCTACAGCCAACGAGCAGATACTTGAACTTTCGCGGCCCCGTTGTTACACACTTACATATTTGTGTAAATAATGAAGTACAGAAAGTTCTTTGTACCTCCAAATTGATATATATTTATTATATATATATATATATATATAATATATATATATATATATAATATATATATATAATATATATAATATATAATATGCAATGCTCCACCAAGGTGTCGACTACTACCGCCATCTCGCCGATCTGGAAAATACTTGATAGACGTTATTCAAGCAAACCCGGCTCCCGTGAGACCAAACGAATCTGTTTTCCATGACCCCATCCGAACCTGGCTCCCGTGAGACCAAGCGAACCCGGTTCCCGTGAGACAAAACGAATCCGTCTCCCGTGAGACCAGACGATTCCGTCTCCCGTGAGACCAAACGAACCCGGCTCCCGTGAGACCAAACAAATCCGGCTCCCGTGAGACCAAACGAATCTTCATGCGTCCATCGTCTCTTCGACTGACACTGGTATTTCACTCTCTTTACTAACTGCCACCGCTAAACTTTACTGGAGGTGTGGCATGCCTGCTGCAACTGAAGCGATGTTCACTAACACACTCTCTGCCATTAACTCTTAACGTTTTACAATAACATCAGCAACATAGTTATTGTAATGAGTAGACCACATATGTTTCTCACTGAAATGTAAAAATAATAGCCGTCAATTACATATACTAAAGTTGCATTAAAAAAAAGAAGAGATTCTTGTTTTTTCTTTTATTTTAAATGTTATATTTATTCCTAAAGAAAGAAATTTACTTTTTAGGAAAATTTTAATTCTCTGTGGCTAGGAATTTGCTTAAAAACATCGACTGTGTCATATCTGTTGCCTGTCGTTCTCGGCATACATTCATCACTGCCACCATCATCACCATTTCCCACCATTATCACCACACTTACACCACTTCTCAATACTCAACACATTTTGTATCTAAAACACCTCAACTCAATATTCAAAACGCTTCAACACTCTCAGCCTGACATAGGGGTGTAAGTTACTGCGAGTGTTGATCAGAGGAAGGAGGATCGAGCCTCCACCACTTGTTAAGTTCAATGACTCACAATTATAATGCATAATAATAATAATATCGTGTATGCAACTGAACTAGTATAGCAACACTGGTCAACACTACCTGTTACTGGTCTAGTATAGCAACACTGGTCAACATTACCTGTCACTGGTCTGGAATAGCAACATTGGTCAATACCGCCTGCTACTTGTTTGGTACAGCAACACTAGTCAACACCATCTGTTAGTGGTCTGGTACACAACACATCCCGAGATGGCCCTGGGATGCTGTTATCCACAGCAAAATGTTACAGATCCCACAGTTGTCACTCCGGTGTCTACTCATGCCGCTCTCATGCTTGACGATGTCTGGTGCACTACTCACAGCTGGTGTGTAGTGCACCACCACACAGGTGGTGTGCAGTGAACCACTACACATCTGGTGTATACTTCCTTATACAACACTTTCGGTTAAAAGATATACACATGTATTCAGAACAGGTTTAAATTTTAACAAAGTTTCGCTCCAAGTAGATGAAGCGAAACGTTGCTTTCCATTCTTATGTCTTTTTTTCACGAACCTATCTGCGTTTAGGTCATTTTCTTTACACATGCATGAATATCTAGCCTCATCATCTACAACACTTCTTTTAATGCCTCCCTACTCTTACTCGCTGAGCACCTACCACCAGCCTGGTGGACCATTCCTCATAAACAAGTCTTCATTACTTACCATTTCCGGGTCCATTGCAACCATCAGAGAAAGAACAGAAAGAGCAGGAGAAACTGATTCTGAAGGATCGCCTATCCAACCGGATCCACCAGTTTTTCAACAGCACCTTGAATGCGGAACAGTTCGACAAATACCTGAAGACATACCGTCAGCCGGGCCCGAAACTACCTCGTAAGTAAGGGAGTTTCTGGTTCTTGGCTCTCAGACATTACACACTGACGATCATATGTTACCGTAGATGTAGTTGGCTTTATATCTGTGCGAGTTTCAGCCGTGGCCACTGTGAATGTTGAGGGTGAGTAAGCAGTTTTATAGCTATGATTTATGCCAAGTAAAATAACTCGATGTTTTAACTCTCCAAACACGGACCTTCGTCATGTTGTAAAGAAACATTAGGCAAGAGTAATGAAAGATTTTATTGGTATACCACGCTTTAGAGATGTCCAGAGGGTTTAGAAATAAATGCTAAGTTTCTAGCTTTCTCAGAAGACATCTTAGTTGCAGGTCGTGTGAGAGGGAGCATAAAACAACGACCTTAGCATCTGCTCGCGCTTTACATCAAACTAACAACTAGAAACTAATAAATCTAGCAGCACCGGCTGGTTGCTGGAGGCTTGGTTGTCCATCTCAAGGTCTACGGGAGTTGGGAAGAGAGCTTCTTGAGCACTTAAGCTCAGTAATACTCATACACACAGCTTCATCTAACACTCTTAAATGTTGAACATGTCCGCTTATTTATAACAAAAAAAATCTTCGAGACGATGGAAGTAGAACGCTTATTTAATTTTAAGTGATAAATAAATAAACAAAAATGGCTAGTGTTCCATATACTATGTACTGGTAATCGACATTTTCCCAATTAGTATGGACTGCCAGTCGATATTTTCCCCCACAGTAAACATTTCCTCATGAAAACAGTTTATATATAATATATATATATATATATATATATATATATATATATATATATATATATATATATATATATTATATATATATATATATATAATATATATATAATACTTAAATAAATATTATATCTATAAATTTTAATATATAATATTTATATATAACTTGTATATATATATGTCTATAATAATATCTAATATATATATATATTATATATAAATATATATTATAATAATTAAATTATTATATATATATAATATAAATAATTTATATAATATTTATCGTAATCAAGATATTATAATATAAATATATATATATATTCATTGTATTATTATTTGCCTTAAAAATGCAGAAAATATGTTAGTCTTAATAACATTCACGAACTATATACAGTATGTTTAATATAGCTGTCATTAGGCACCATGATTGTCCCTATTGAAATATACTCACTATGCAATATATTTCTTAAAATTCTTAAATATGTTATTAAATAACTTGAACATTCAGTCCCTTAAATACAAATATAAACTAATGTTTTAATATTTAGTCGTAGATCAAGAGCTATTAGTAGATATAGATTTATATTTTCTTGTAGTTACTTTATTTCCTTTGAGTAGTAAAGTAGGTTTAGTCTTAATAAGCAACACGGTGCTTATAGTCATGATTTTGTTACTGCTCAGTAGGCAACCCTCCTGATAAGTCCCTTATTGAAAATGATAACTCAGACTATGGCAAACTCTTTTTCTTACAGATGCGCAAGTGAGGGGAGGTAAGTATCAGAGGTTAACAGATAATTGCATGCCAACCTCCTGCACTAGTCCCCGGATACTCTCTTGCGGGATGGCCAAGTCTTAAGCGAAGAGTTCATTCCGGCATCCACGTATAAAAGCATCGTAAACCTTGCATGGTTGGTAACACGTTTTCTATGACTTACGTAATCCCCTCGGTGTCGTCCCGTCAACAACAAAAAGACCCGTGACTACTTGCATGTTTTCACTTCGTTGCTACACACAGCCTGATATAGTTTACAGCAAGAGTTATTTAATTCTGTCTTGTCTAGTAGGCCGCAATATTTACAAAAGCATATTAATTTCCTTTCGGTAACGAGCGGTTCGACTTTGTGTTAAACACAAGAGTAATAATAAGCATTTGTGATGCTTTATGGACGTTGATAATTATCCCAACACCAGCTTACGTTCTTATGAAAATATAAAACATACTGCATACTTTTCCATTTATGAAAACAATGGATATAACAATTGCTTGAGTAAATAGATTATATTTGCCTGTTGTTATCATATTCCTGGAAAACGATAAAACCGTATGCGTCGTTAAAAATGTTTTCCGATGATAGTTTTACCTGACGTTAAGTAAGTTTGATGTTATCGTAACTCATCATAATACCGAGGTTATATTTAACTGTCTTGCAACACAGATTTAAAACAAAGCAGATCACGCTTTAAAATAGCTTAACGATATTAAAAATTCACCTAACAGGTCTGGTAAACTTTTCATTATCAGGTCTACTCAGTAATCTTCCAACACTACAGAACTGCACCAGCTAACAACTGAACTCTTACTGAATGTATTATACTATACTAATTGCCACTTATAAAGCACAGTGTGCTGACTGTATCAGTTGCTGTAACAAAGTCAGTAACAGAGGTCAACTACAAACTCAAAACAGAAAAAGTCAAAGGATTCAGCAGTCGACTACACGAGGGTCATTAGGGTTGCATGTCATCTGTATGTTAGTCAAGGACACTAAATCCTTAAAATAGAGGTTATGGCAAATTCGAGTATATGCACTGAGAAATACTCATCTTTCGATGTATATGCCTCAACAGTCAAAAAATCTCTTAAGCTACAATGATGTGGGAGCAGACAATGTGCCTCTTTTGGACTGGAGAACACTACATAGATCATCGTGATTACATACAGGAACGAAACTTACTACATTCTCTCTTAAACCCATTTTAATCTATTATTACCATTTATTGACAGACCATTGCATTTTTTATTAATATTACTATATGAAATGCAGTCCAATTTCTTACTTATTCAAGTAAATATGAAACATATTGCATGGCGTGATTAGGTCGGATTTCACTATATCTCGAAACCTCATCTCTCCAAATCATAAAAATGATTGTACTCTAGAGAGTGAAATCGAAATTCCTAATGAACCTAAAAATAAAATTCAGATTACGGTTTAATGATCCTTCCACTTGCCCTTCACCTGCTGGTTGGAAAGTGTGGTGCAAGTCGTCACTGGTGACTCATGAATAAATACGAATGTTAATACTATTTCTTTTAATGAATTCTTCGTCAGTTCTCGACATTAATATAACACCCCAAGAACCACTTCTTTTAATCGGTGTAAATGCAAGAAATTGGGTTAGATTTATCGCTATCAATTTTTAAACGATGATATTTACCATACTTTAAGAACGCTTACTACTGAGGTTGACTAATTTATATACAGTATGACTCAAATATTATTATTATAATTATTATTACAAAGTACCCCGATCCGGTGAAGGGTGGTTTGACCTTACGCAATTAGATACTTAAATCCGGCGTGATGCAACCGTAGACTTTTAAGAAAAAATTTTGTTGATATACTTAAAATATACCTTTGGTGAGTTTCGACAGCTTTTCTACTCTCGGACTCTGGCCCTGGGCCAGGCTTGTCTGGTGCTTGCCTGGTCAATTACGCTGTTGCTTCTGGAGGCCCACTGGCCCACCTGGCACTTTGTGATGATATTTTTCCAGTTTCTTCTTGAAGACTTTTACACTTGTCTAAACAGTCCATGATGTCATCTGAAAAGATGTTGATACAATAGTCTGGGGCCACAGCTATTAATAAAATAATCGTTACTTTAAAATAACACATTTTGCAAATTCGGTTCTTGGTTATGAATTTCCAACAAATCTCTGCTTGCAAGAGAGTAATGATATAATTGCCTATCAGCCCTTAATGGAATGTCTGAAAATTTTAATACTCCTTTGCTGCGGTAGTTTTTCCGTGCCTCTTACAAGTCATTACAATGTGCTAAATGTTAGAAGTAATCTCATCATAATAAGCACTTCATGTTGACACTGAAGGAACAAGATGGCCGGAGAGGGCGCAGTTGCAACGCTCCTTCAAGCAAGGTCAGTTCATTGGTCTCGCCCCATTACAACCACGTGATCAAGTTGTTGCGAGTGATAAACAAGGTATCTGATTTCATTTTAATGGTTTCCAAAGGTCGTTGTCGGAGAGCGTCAGACTGGCTGGCCTTGTTCAAACACTCCCATCTCTCTTCCGAAACCTCATCACTTGTATTCAATGCAACGGTATAATGAGGCTAAAAAATAAAATGAAGCAGGATTAAATAAAAATAATATATTTTTAATTGGTTCTTACAGCAAATATGCTTATATTTTGACGATTATATAGACTAAAATTACGATGTGTTGGATATATATGAAAACAAAGCCTCAGGGAGGTGTGTGGACGCTGTGTGGCTGGGGTCGGTGTGTGCATGGTGGGTGGCGCGTCGTGGTGAGTCAGTTCATGGTGGAACACATCCACGGACACCACGCACCTAACACAACTCCAGTTCATGGTGGAACACATCCACGGACACCACGCACCCGTCACTATCACCAGTTCATGGTGAAGCTCATCCACGAACACCACTTACCCCACTATCTCCACTACACTACACAGCGATACCTCACCCAGCGATATCACTGCGACTCTTCAACTAGTGACTCTTGATATTCCCATGTGACTTTGGAAAAGTGGCCCTTTATAACGTCGAAAAATAACTTTGTTCATACTCAGAAAGTACTTAAGTTGACAGGTATTGATTAACTGTATAACCGTTTTTGTTTTGCATCCGAAGGTAAAAATAGTTCTGGTGTCGACTACCGATTATAGTTGCTATCGAACCGGCCGTAACCAGCCGCAGGTAATGTCATATATTAAATTTTCAAACTCCGCCATGGTTTTGAGAGTGATCTTTGAAGGGTAATGTCAAACTTTCATTCTCGTGCTAAATGGTGAGCACAGATGTTTATATTTAGTACAAATCAATAATCTTAAATATATTGATATCGCAAATTTGCCTGCATAAATACCACTCATTGCAAAGGAACAAGTGAAGTTTAAAAGCGTGGAAACAGATTAACCCAGGATACACATCGTGAGTATCATGCTAAGCAAGAGTGGCACGTGTTAACATGGACAGCGTAACCGTAGGAATGGGAAACGGAATTTAAGTTTGAGCATCTAAGAGAGATTTCAAGACTTTGAAGGATGTCTAAGGAAAGTAAGTATTGTAATATGACTTGGGAACCGTAAGATGCTTCTAGTTATCCATGTTAAGCTGTGATCACCAGCAGAGTACTGCAGCTTTTGTGACTTCCACATCAAAAAAATCATGCACGCTTCTGTAAATCATCCATCAGTGTTTTTGTCAAATTCAAACTCCCACACATAAGCACAAATGAGCAGCGTAAAGTAATACGTGTTTTGGGGCGGCCTACCCGTATGATAAAACAATGCAAATAAATAAGAAGTGCTTGAAAGGCAAATAATTGTAACAATAAATGTTCTAAATATCGCATCGTAGTCAAAGAAAAGTCTTCACTCACTGACCCTATCGAGAAATAATTCATCTGTCTCCGTCACTTCGCTACTGCTTCCATCCGTGTAATTGACCTAATCACTTGAGAAAAACCGCTAGCGAGTTCAATGTATCTGCTCGTTGCTGTTAAAATATCATTACTTATGTATACAGACAAAAGCATATTCACACATTTGTACATTCCCCTATTTACATGTTTTATTTTCACCTGCCTCTTTAACTATCTAATCATTTACCTCAAACTCCATTATTACTTATCTTTAGTTTTATGTTATTGTTTAAGTTTTATTATGCAGAACTGTTAAAATTTGTTTTTATTTATTATTTATTTAATTTATTTTATTTTTCTTCTATTACCTGTTTACGTTACCAGCTACCTGTTTAACCTCTGGTTTTTAGTTATCCCGTATTATTTTCTGTTTATTTTCTGTTGCTTTCCAGGCTTTCCTAGCGCCCGTTTGTACGATTCTTCTGCCCAGGGTTAGTTAGTAATTGTTATCGGCTTGTAAATGATAACATCTTTAATAATTATAGTGACTACCTTATTTTATGTTGATTATGTGACTGTTCCCCAATTTTACATTGATATTTGTGAGTGATCCCATTTTATGTTGATTATGTGACTTCTGCCCTATTTTACTTTGATATTTGTGAGTGATCCCGTTTTATGTTGATTTATTGTGAAATAGTTTAAATACATAAGTGTATGCAAAGTAAGATTAGTGTATACACTTAGGAAATTTTTCAAGGATACGTTTCAGTCATGAGACTGGTCACTTCATATTATACAAGAAGATGAGAGAACGTTTTATATATAGTGAAGAAACCATGTCACTGGTAAGGATCAGGTTATCTGATCACTGTGTCACGCGGCAGTAAGGAATCAGTGTGGAGTACTATCATATATGCTAGGATAGTTGAGATGATGTATTTCTTGGCTCTTTTGTGTGTTGTGGAAGTAGCAATTGAGGATGTTTCAATACTGTAGTGCCTATCAGCTCTGGATTCTCTGTATCTCAATTCCCTATTTAGATCTATACAAGACACAAGCATTTCTGGTATCGTGCTGGTTGCTGCATTACTGTGTTCTCGGATCCGTGTGGAAAGATTCCTCCCTGTTTCTCCTACGTGGCTCATGATGCAGCCCCCACATGGTATAATGTGCACTCCTGCTGCCTTGCTGGAATTGTCGCAGGATTATTTCTTCCTGGTAAAGTCTCTGATGGAAGACGTGACCACGGTAGATACGCTGAGTACAGCCCTGGCCAACATTTTTTTGGAATACTTAAGAATCCGAAGGTTTTCATAGTATTCCTACCATTTCTTGATCCTCGCCAATGCAGGTCATCCAGGAAAGACACCCTTCCTTTCAATCTACAGAAAGTTCACAGATACAGATGACCTTACTCATTTCTACTCGCACCAAGAGAGACGTGGTCATTAGGGTTCTCCTAAGAGCTATCAGGATCACACGCACACTTTCCTCTCTGTTTCAAACAAGATTACAAACGCAGAACTGTCAATATACAGAGCTTTACTAAGAATGCCAACGTAGAGAAACCCAGATTTCTAACTCTTCCTGGAGGAGTAATGGCTAACAATACCACACTGACCTTTTAGAGTAGTAACATCCATGTAGCTACCATGACCACTCCGTCCATCATAGACGTCACCAGGAAGAAAGATCCTTATGACAAACCCATCAATGAAGTAGGAGCGTATAATATACCATGCAGAGGTGCAATAATATCTACATAGGAGAAACCGGAAAGAATCTTACCACACGGGTCTGAGAACACAGAAATGCATGCAACAGGGATGACACCAGAAATTCGTGTCTTGCACAGATATATCGAGGGACATTTCAAAGTACTGGAACAAAGCATAATTGATCTACGGAGAATCCAACATTGATAACCGCCGTTGTATTGAAGCATCCTTAATTGCTATTTCCAACACCATAAAACAAAAAAGCTGGCAAATACATCATCTCAACTTCTCTTGCATATATGATACTACTCCACGTTGATTCATTGCTGTCACGTGACACGGCATTTAGTTTACCTGACTCCTCCACCTTTCCCCATTGTATATATTGCGCAAGAAACGCATCCAATGAAGATGTCCTAAGTATATGCACTTGTGTCCTTTTATCTATATCGTCGGCATCATTATGCCTTCTCCCTTCATATGAACTAACGTTGCTCTGAATCGGAATGACATCGGGGAATTTCGTTAAAAGTTCTCCCTGTCATCAGTGGCTGTTTGGCTCTAGTTAGAGTCAGATAAACTTTCTTGGAGCCACAACTGACTATTTTAGTGTGCTTCCTTATCACTGAAACGGATGGCTATTAGCATCTTAATGGCCAAAGTTAGTGTGAGGGAAAGAGTGCCTCAAAGTTTCGTATTTTTCGAGATGTTGTCGAAGATAAGACATCAACCTCATTTCATTAGGTCAGGAAATTGCTTGAAAAAATAAAAACTTTTTTTTAAACTGCATGCCATGACGATACAACATTTCGTAGTCTTGAGAACAGTTCAGTGAATGTTGGATACGTGACCCTTAAGTATTCATGTGTTAAATACTGACCATAATTTTCTCGTTGATGGAGTGTTTGCTGGGTATTAAAATCTCCGTCGTATAGCGAAGGTGGTGAACATATTACAAAAGTGCCAGTCACATTACAAAAATGTTGGTAACAACGATTAAAAGGGCACAATACCATGACTGGAGCAATATACAAATAACCTGCGCATGGGAAAAAGAAACTTATGACGACGTTTCGGTCCAACTTTAACCTAGTCGGACCGAAACATCGTCATAAGTTACTCCTAAGTGGTGGTTATTTGTGTAATGCAGGTAATATTATATCCACCATATACTGTTGCTTAGGTATATTAAAATTAATATATTAAATCAGTAATATATCTAATTTTTGTAATTCCCAATTTTTAAGCAGGTAACCTATGAGCAGTCCACGCGATTTTAATTTTCCACAGCGTTATATCTGTAAGACAAACCTATGATAATCCTCTATAAGTCACTGTATTCATGATTTGTCTATGATGCTGATACGCTATGACGACAAAGAATAGTCCTGAAAATATTAGCTACGTAAGGGAATGAACGTTGTATTACTAAACCGGAATGAGTCATAAGAGACTAAAAACTTAGTCATGAATTGTCTGATACAGAAATATTTGTTGCTGAAGAAACAAAACTACGTCAAGTTCTGTAATGAGTCTCTCCTGCTTTACAATATATAAAGAGTAAAGGATGTGTAAAAACATATTTGTGTAGGCTTTAAACCTAAAGAATTAAGGATGTAAAAAACATTTATATAGGCTTTAAACCAAACGAATTAAGGATGTAAAGAAATTTATATAGGCTTTAAACCAAAAGAATCCAGTTTGTAAAAAAAAACATTTCAATAGGCTTTAAACCAAAATCATCAAGAATGTAAAAACCGTCGAATTCATGCAGGAGTTAAAGAAGTATTGTTTAAAGGCACTGTTGTGTGATGAATTCTAGACAGGAATAGTGTTGTTAGTGAGGAGACAACACAACATAGGTTTATGTACAGAATGAACGTAATGATGTTCACGCTAAATCATTGTGAGTGTGGAGTAACATTCTCTAGTTCAGAGTTATATTGTTTTAAGGCAGTTTTATCCCTCACTTCTGTATAATGAATAACAATAAACTATTTTAAGGAAGCTGTGAAAGTTAACAAAGGCATCGAAGCTCATATTAACATTTTTGTTACTGATTTATCAAAATGTTGATTTTTTTCTTTCTGTTAGTTTGGTTCATTGAATTTTTGAACCGCGTTATATTATTGTCATTATTGTTTTTTTTTTTTTTCCTTTATATTGTATATCGGCATTTATTTGTTTTACTTTTGTTGCCATACACTTCTCATCGGGTTAACCATCTGCTTGTTCCAATAAAAAACTTTATTGTTTGTGTGTTTGTGAGTAATTTCTTCCTTGTTTTTTCCTTGCAGCTCCTCTCATACCTGCCCCTCAACAGCACCATTTAGAGAAAATCCACACCAATTACAGTTGTTGTCTTTCTTTACACTCGTTATTCTTGTGTACATAGCAGTTGCCCTTGTTACTCATCCGTGTTATGCTTGATGTTACAGATTACTGGAAGCCTAAACAGTATATTCCTACAGAACCATTCAAGGGTCTGTTACCGAGTGTTCGTCTTAGCGAGAATGGCAATGTTTAGAACCCACCAAGTTGCGCCCGAGTTGTCTGAGTGATGTTATGAAGGATCAAAGGCCTTATAGTTCACATAACACCTTCCCCCTTAAATGTTTGACAACACATGTGTTTGACTTAAATAAGATGTTTAATATTGTTGATAGCCTCATTTATGTGTTGTGTAAAACATCCGTCGTGTTGCTGTGATTTACGTAGTATTTAAGAAGAGTAACCTGGATATATTTGTAAAGAGAATGCTCTTAACAGCATGTAACGTGATTGGTTTTCTTGTAAATAACATGTACATATTTACTTAATCACCTTCTCACTTTATGTAGCTACACATTCGAATGCATATTGCATTTCCTTTAATGTAAAAAAAAAACTACATTCATTCTATATAATCCATGAGAGGCGAAAACAAATCCTAGACACAGAAATAAACACAGCGGTGTTTACATAATCTTTCACTTGTTTCCCTTAATTAATAGGCATCTGTAAAATAGCCTAATATCATTTAATATTATCTAAATGACAGTGACTGGTAGCTAACCATTAAATTGGAGATGATTCAAAAAGGCGTTCTGGTCCGTAGACTATTATCAGATGATGACAATAATAGCCAGGGACGAACCATAACGAAGTTCCTTGAAATCCTCAATTTGTGAGTTGTGAATTGTTACGACCACGATATTGTATCATAGGAAAGCACTGGTTTGGTAATAGAGTTGTAGATGAGTGGAACAAACTCCCGAGTACCGTTATAGAAGCTAAGACCTTGTGTAGTTTTAAAAATGGGTTGGATAAATACATGAGTGGGTGTGAGTTGGACCTGACTAGCTTGGGCTACTAGGTCTGGTGCCGTGCTCCTTCCTTAAGTGGAAGTGACCTGACTAGGTGGTCATTGTTCTAGGCCGGGGGGGTGGCATGGACCTGCTTTGCATGGGTCAGGAGGCCTGTTGAAGTGTTCCTTCTTTCTTATGTTCTTAAATTCTTTCATTGGCAGTTTCCATTTGACTTCTGAAAGCAACGTAATGATGCTGTTACCTGTTAATATCACAAGTGATAATCGCCCCCTCGCCTCGGTCTAGAGGCCAGACCTATTAAATTCAAAAGGATATATTGCAAGAATGCGACCTATTAAGAAACACACACACAAAACTGTAGATACGTGTATATTGAAGAAATCTGGGAGTTTACGTATTCCAGAGGAAAAAAGAAAAGGCCAGCTGGACGCAAGACCTTTTAAATAATACTTTTATACGGTCATATAATTTCACATTATTTTGAAATTGTCAAGATAGCATAGGTTGTAATGACTCCATAATAAGATCGGTGTGTGAATGTGTTTGTGTTTGATGTGTCTGATGAAAGGGGAAACCCAACAACGTTAATTACTGCTTCTCACGAGGTTCATAAGAGGCTCTTATGAGGCTCACACATGACACACGAAGCTCACTAAGCTCACACGAGGCTTTCACTAGGCTCACACAAGGCTCATGTCCTACCACAAACACCAACATTACTCACCAAACCTAATAAGTCCCTCTCATTTACGGTCACCAAGTACTCTGCAACAAAACAATCTTGACATTAGTGACATTTGAGGTCTGTTAACTCCACGAGCGTCATTAAGACCTAAATTATGTAAACATACATCACATATAAAAATTATAGACCTTGAAGAAATACACTGCACAGAAGGTGGAAAAAAAAGCATTTTCTTAGACGTTTATTAAAGCACAAACAACGTTTCGGTGACAAAAATATCACCATCTTCAAGGATTAGTTTCCAAGAGGAAGGTGGTGTGTGTTTTCCACAGTAAGCATCTGAGTAATGAAAGACTTATAAGCACTACCATTCCTTCTTGATACGAATCCTGATGATGGTGATTGATTTATCATCGAAACGTTGATTCTACTACAATGGATGCCCAAAGGAATTGCAAGTGTTTTCCTCACCTGCTATCAATATCAAGTGTATTATTCTCTCTACAGCAAACACTACTCTAATTCATACCGCTATAAGATATACGCCACTCGGTGTATATACACTGAAAAAAAAGTGCCGTTGTGAAAAACTCACCAGGAATATCTGAGACAACTTCTTCAGAGGAATAAGAAGAGTGATGAGAAACGTGTGTTCCTAAATGAGGTAATACCTCAAATTTTATACTTAAAAAAAAAAATACTGCATGAGGCCTACTGTCCCACTCGTCAACAGTGGGGATCCATCACCAATCATGAATTAATGAAAGATTTTAACGTTTTAAAAAGTTTTTGCTTTCGTAGTGTACATAAGAACTAGGCTATGACTGACGAAAGTAAATTCTCAGTCTACACTCCTCACTCTGCTACACAAGTGTAACACTATATCAAAATATCAACAATAAACGCTGCTTTATTTGTAACATCACCGTTGATCTCACACATCCCCGCAACACTGCCCTTTTGTTTATTGAAGTTCACTTGTCTTTGCCTCTCATGATATTTTGATCCACACCTTTATCAGACTTCAGCGCAGTAGTGGGTATCAAGACACATAATGTAGAGAAAGTTATTTCTTTTTTAAGAGATGTTTCGAGCAGACTGGAACAATATCAAGATTTGGAAAGGAAAAGACTTGCGCGAAACATAGTCGAAAAAAAAACTACTTTGCATTAAGTGCCTTCATACCAACTGAACGGCTCTTTGCCCTGGTCGCCGATCAGTAAAACATAATTCATCACCACTCAGAGCAATAATCATGGTGATGACATCAATAACATAGTTTCTCAGGCTAGCTAACTCAACACATCGGCAGGGTACATGGAAACAAATCACACAACTACAAAATAACAAGAATTCACTCTACATTATTCTGAAGACAACAGCTATAAAGTTGAACGGGATAATACAAGTATTTATTCATATTCGCATACAGTGAGATTGATACAAGATCACAAGAAACAATTGATATGTTAATATCGAATTTAATGGCTATGAAAACATTCTAAGAGATTTCGTGATCTCTCAGTCAGTTTCATTCAGCACCCCGTTCCTTAAGAATGCCATCAGTAGACCATGAAATCGCTTGGGATAAAATTCCATTTCATAGTGATTAAAATACACCGCTATACAGTATACATATTATTATTTCCACTTATCCTAACATACATCCATGTACTCTGTGTGTGTGTGTCTCAGTCTGCCATGTACTCTGCCATGTCCTACTTGTCTAGAATGTCCTCAGTGTCAAAGCAGGTAGGTCACGTATATATGTTCGTACTACTGCAATATAGTATAGTTCTTAAGTATATTACCGTTTATTTTTATATTTAATGCATGCGTAATCTGGTACATGTAAATACTATGCTCATTTTTTGTAACTGTTTATCAGTTATGATATACAGATAACTGGTTGTCGCGGGTGTTTTAGATAATAATAAAGTAAGAATTAAAATCAGTATGTTAGATTTAATTAAATAAATCAAATATTCTGCTTAACTCTATATATATATAATAAAATATATATATATATATATATATATATATAATATAAATATAATAATAAATTTATATATATATAATATATATAAATATATATATATATATATATATATATAATATATATATATATATATATATATATATATATATATATATATAGATAGATAGATAATGCTGATTTGACTTCACGGTACAGGAGGCGACACTTAGGGTTCACAGGGTTTGTCACTCACGGCGAGGCAGGGTTCATAGGGTTTGTCACTTGCGGCGAGGCAGGGTTCAAGGGTTTGTCACTAACGCGAGGCAAGGTTCGATAGGGTTGTCACTCCAGCGAGAAGGTGCAAAGGGTTGTCACGTCGGGCAGGGTTCATAGTTGTCACTTACGCAGGCAGGGTTCAAAAGGGATTGTCACTTACGGCGAGCAGGTTAACGGGTGTTTGTCAAATCAGAGCCTAATAAGGTGAAGCCTCTTCCATGCGTGGATAACAAGTTGCAGGGTGTGTTCATTCAACACCATGAGTGCAAGCGAGAACACTGTACAAAGAGATCTTGTATAGCCATACGATAAGGTATAGAGATGAAAACACTGTGAAGATTATCATTGAGATAGGATAGATAACTCTCGGTGATTGACATTAAGAATATACTCTACTCATGCATTGATAAAACTTGAGTGTTGATATGTTAAAGAGTTAACCCTACTCTCCTATAGGTCGGGAAGCAGATAAGGGAGATTACCACATAAAGGGAACATAAAGCTGTATAACTACTTTGTGCTGACTGGGGTAACTTTTTCAGGGCCTTAGTGATTGTAAACACATTAGATAAAAAGACTAAGTTGAAATAATAATATATAAATCTAATATGATAAATAATATAATTTGCCCTAATGTTTTATTTTCTTAGCTATATTCATACGTCAAACCCTAATTATTATATTCGCAATATTCCTCTTATGATATATTTACTGTCTTGTAATTTCAGCTGATAGGAACAGAGAAATATAATTTCTTTACGATCTCTGTAGATAAGCTAAAATATGGCGATAGTACAGTATGTGGTCATCATTCAGGCCAGGTCAGGGTACAGTAGCGTAAGGTAGGGTTATCACTCACAGGCTGGCCCAGGTCACATTACTTTAAGATACTACCTCACACTGGTCCAGGTGTGAGCCACATTAACTTGTGCTTGTGTTAACAGTGATGCCGGACACCTCTTCCCGCTACACCAAACTCACCAGCAAGTGGGAAGAACCTGACACCGTGTTCGGCGCTCCCTCCGACAAGAAACCCTACTCCAAGGTAGAAACTGGCTCTTCCTTCTTCTCTACCTATGGTTACACCAACCGAAAGAAGGACTATGTGGCTGAGAAGGTGCGTGATTATTACTACTTCGGGGACAGCCCGCAGGTGCGTCAGGCCGTCGGAGAGCCGCCACTACGCATGGACTGGCTGGTTTAGATTCGTCAACATAACATCTTTAGAGTCTCGTCTCACGGCCGCTCATCCAGTCTCGCGCCCGTACGACGTGACCACAGGCTTTTTTAGAGATGAAACAGTTAGAGTAGCACCGACGGCTTGTCTGTTTGTATGTGTTTTGTCACGCCTTACTGTCGCATGACTTGTGTGAGCAGTGAAGAGTGTTTGTTTGTCTTGCCTGCCACCGCCCTCACATCAACCGCCTGCCATCACTGTCGGAGGCAGAGATATGTGGCTCCCCGTCAGACTACGCCTCACAGCAGAATTTTGCTGCCCTATTATGTGTCCGAATGAAAACTTGCATTAACAGTCTACCGTACAGGCATGTGCCCAATGGTGTGTATCACTGACACTGCACTAGCAGTGTAGAGTGTAATCATGTACCTTACTGTGTATCACTGAAATACGGCTAGCTGACTAGGTTGTTTAAGACTTCCTCGCTAGCACCATCAGCATGACATGAAGTGTGGGAGTGAATGGAGAGATCGAGAGGAAGTGGTGATGCATGGGCATGAGGAACGGTGAGGCGAAGGCGTGAGGAGTGAGGCGCGGTGGCAGCAGAGGCGAAGAAACAGTGAGACAGACAACAAACTGGCGTGGAGTTAGTGAACCGACGCCCCCTGCCGTGCCCCCAGAGCGCCTGCCGGCGGCGCCGTGGGAGGCGGGGGCGCTGTCGGCAACAAGTGTGCTGGGAGAGAACACACGTACCTTACTTTGACTCCTCGACCTCATGAGACATTAACCGCTAACTAAAGCTAATAACGCTTTAACATCAAGTGGCTCGTCAGCTTTATAAAGCACTAACTCTAAATCCATTGACACCTCAGTAAATAAAACCCCAAAGGAGACTTAATCATTGAGTTAATACTAAAGTTTCGTCGTAACTAAAATTTCTGCCATAATAGAGCCCAGGTAGGTGAATAATGCTGTGCTTGCGAGCTGCTCCTTAACACCTGACTGACGACTAAGACACAGTACAATCTACCAAACATACAGTGACGCAAGCAAACTTGACAGGTGTGACACAGCAGCAGTGACGCCTTGGGGACGGTGACACAACAACAGTGCCGCCCTGGGGATGGCGACACAACAACAGTGCCGCCCTGGGGATGGTGACACAACAACAGTGCCGCCCTGGGGACAGTGACACAACAACAGTGCCGTCAGGCGGACAGTGACACAACAAGTGCCACCCGCGGGACAGTGACACAACATTGCTACTTGGGGGACAATGACACAACAACAGTGCCGTCAGGTGGACAGTGACATGTGTACGAGTTGGGTGAGCTTGGCCGGCAGATAGATTTTTTTTTTTGCGGGTGTGTGTGTATGCATGTGTGTGGGTGTATGTATACCTACCTTTGTATACCTTTGATAAGTTACGAGAATTTTTCTACTTTCAAAGCCCAGCCTTGGGCCAGGCTTATCTGGCGCTTGCCTGGTCAGCCAAGCTGTTGCTGGTGGTGGTCCGCTGATGTTTACAAAACGGTCAACAACGACACTTCCTTAAAGAAAATATTGCCACCTTTTAAAATTATTTTTTAATGATTTCATGATTTTGGACGTGATATTTGAACAGTAACTAATTATTGTCTTCATAAATTTGCCCAGCAAGTGAGGAGTGGAAGCAGGAACCATACATAGCTTTAGGGTTACCTGGAGGTTTACCTGGAGGTTATTCCGGGGATCAACGCCCCCGCGGCCCGGTCCATGACCAGGCCTCCCGATGGATCAGGGCCTGATCAACTAGGCTGTTACTGCTGGCCGCACGCAGTCCAACGTACGAGCCACAGCCCGGCTGATCCGGCACTGACTTTAGGTATCTGTCCAGCTCTCTCTTGAAGGCAGCCAGGGGTTTATTGGCAATTCCCCTAATGCTTGATGGGAGGCTGTTGAACAGTTTTGGGCCCCGGACACTTATGGTGTTTTCCCTTAGTGTACCAATGGCGCCCCTACTTTTTATTGGGGGCATTTTGCATCGCCTGCCCAGTCTTTTTACTTTCGTAGGGAGTGATTCTTGTGTGCAGATTTGGGACCATTCCTTCCAAGATTTCCAAGTGTAGATTATGATATATCTCTCCCTCCTGCGTTCCAACGAGTACAAGTCAAGTGCTTCCAAGCGTTCCCAGTAGTTAAGGTGCTTGACAGAACTTATACGTGTAGTAAAGGATCTCTGTACACTCTCTAGATCTGCGATTTCACCTGCTTTGAATGGAGATGTTAATGTATAGCAGTATTCCAGCCTAGAGAGAACAAGTGATTTGAAAAGGATCATCATGGGCTTGGCATCTCTCGTTTTGAAAGTTCTCATTATCCATCCTATCATTTTCTTTGCACGTGCGATCGTGGCACTTGTGATCCTTGAAAGTGAGATCCTCAGACATTACTACTACCAGGTCCCTTACATTATTTTTCCGCTCTATTGTATGGCCGGAGTCAGTAGTATACTCTGTTCTAGTTATTATCTCCTCCAGTTTTCCATAACGGAGTAGTTGGAATTTGTCCTCATTGAACATCATATTGTTTACCGTTGCCCACTGGAAAACTTTGTTTATATCTTCTTGGAGGTTAAACCGCGTCCTCAGCAGATGACAGCCTCATGCAGATCCTAGTATCATCCGCAAAGGATGATACGGTGCTGTGGTGTATATCTCTGTTTATGTCTGATATGAGGATAAGGAATAAGATGGGGGCGAGTACTGTGCCTTGTGGAACAGAGCTCTTCACTATGGCAGCCTCCGATTTAACTCTGTTGACCACTACTCTTTGTGTTCGATATGTAGGAAGTTGAAGATCCATCTCCCCACTTTCCCAGTTATTCCTTTAGCACGTATTTTTATGGGCTATTATGCCATGATCGCATTTGTCAAATGCTTTTGCAAAGTCTGTGTATATTACATCTACATTCTGATTTTCTTCCAGTGCATCCAAGGCCATGTCATAGTGATCCAGTATTGTGAGAGGCAGGAGCGACCTGCCCTGAACCCATGTTGCCCTGGATTGTGCAGATTTTGGGAATCCAGGTGATTTGCAATCCTGCTTCTTAGCACTCTTTCAAAGATTTTTGTGATGTGGGACGTCAGAGCTATTGGTCTATAGTTCTTAGCTAATGCTTTGCTGCCACCTTTATGGAGGGGGGCCCTATATCCGTTGTTTTAAGTGACTGTGGAATTTCACCCATGTCCAAGCTCCTCCTCCATAGTGTACTTAGGGCACGCGAGAGGGGTTTCTTGCAGTTCTTAATGAAAACAGAGTTCCACGAGTCTGGCCCGGGGCTGAGTGCATAGGCATGTTGTCAATGGCTTTTTCGAAATCTTTCGGAGTTAGGGTAATGTCGGAAATCTGGCATACATTTTGGAGCTTTGAGGCTCATTCATGAAAATCATTTGGGTCGTCGATCCTCAGACCGATTAGTGGTTCACTAAACACAGAGTCGTACTGGGATTTCAATATTTCACTCATTTCCTTGTTGCCATCTGTGTAAGTCCCATCCTGTCTGAGTAAGGGCCCGATACTAGATGTGGTATTTGCCTTGTTTTTGGCATATGAAAAGAAATATTTTGAATTTCTTTCAATTTCACTAATAGCTTTAAGCTCCTCCTGCCTCTCCTGGTTCCTCTAAGAGTCATTTAGCTTAAGTTCGATAGTTTCCACTTCCCTGGTCAGCGCCTCCTTTCGTGTATCAGATATTCTAGCACTCCTGAGGAGCTCAGTGACTCTTCGTCGTCTTCTGTAGAGGGAGCGTCTTTTTCTCTCCAGTTTACTCCTGCTCTTCTTCTTTCTTAGGGGAATATGCCTAGAACATGCTTCGGCTACCAGGAAGTTGATCCTTTCAAGGCACTGGTTTGGATCCATGTCATTTAAGACATCTTCCCAACATGTTTCGTTTAGGACATGGTTTACCTGGTCCCAGTTGATGTTCTTTTTGTTGAAGTTGTATTTTGTGAAGACACCTTCACAGGTACATGCATTCTGCTGATCATGACCCCTATGCATGTACGTCTGGACTTCGATTAGATTGTGATCGGAATTAGTTGTTTTTTTATATTCTTATGACTCTTATCAGGTCCTCATTATTTGTGAAGATAAGGTCAAGTGTGTTTTCTAGTCTTGTTGGCTCCACTATCTGCTGGCTTAAGGTGTGTTTTTCGCAGAGACTTAGTAGCTCATGTGTGTGTGACGTTTCATCTGCGCTACCTCCGGGGATTGTTTCAGCTATAACATTATTTGCTACATTCTTCCATTTTGTATGCCTTAGGTTGAAATCACCAAGCAGTAAGATGTTTGGGGATGGAGCTGGAAGGTTTTCCAAACAGTAATCAATTTTCAGTAGCTGTTCCTTGAACTGTTGTGAGGTTGCATCTGGTGGTTTGTATACAACCACAATGACTAGGTTTTGGTTCTCGATCTTTATTGATAGAACTTCAACTACCTCATTTGTGGTGTTCAGCAACTCCGTGCAGATAAGGGTGAGGTATGATAAAGCTCATGGAGCAGGGAGAGAGGATCTAGTAGCACTCGGTGAAGAGGCGGGGCCAGGAGCCGAGTCTCGACCCCTGCAACCACAATTAGGTGAGGTGAGTACACACACATACACACACAACGTACCGGCAGGTAATTTTGTTCTTACAAACTGCGTTCACTCGTTCATGAAAATACTGCCGGTGTTTGAGTGGGGTTGTGTTTACATTTACCTAGTTGTATTTGTTGGAGCACAGCTCATGTTTAAACCACCTCTTTGTTACGCAGTTGAACTTAAAGGTTATTTTAGCTTGTCTAATAAATTTATATTTGTTCAGTATCAGTGGTTGAAACAAACACATACATTACACTCTCGTTATTCCCATTACAGCGGTCATCCTCTGTGTATGTGACACAGTATTATATAATAAGTC